TGACACTAAATCCTAAACCAGCTTCTGAAACTGAATGGAGCCTTCCTGCATTTGATGAACTGCAGCAACATGTAACTATGTATTTATTCATATTTTTGCACTTTTCTTTCTTTGTTTTGCAAAACACCTGATAATGCATCTAACATAAAATCACAACACTTAAAAACATTAACTAAACCATTAAAGCTGTCTAACATTTGGTCAAGGACAAAGAAATCAGCTGGAAAATAACATGTCAGCTCCTGTGATATCACAACCCCCAGTAACCCTCTCTTTAGTTTATATGGGATATGATCCCACTGACTCATACTATTTGTCAATGTGCCACTGGAAAGAAACCAGACAATCTAGAAACGAAAATAGGCTACATCACAATTCATGTACTCTGTGTGAATTAGGCATCCAGTCTAAATTAGATCAATGCAAGTATTTTTTCTGATGAAGACTAGCTAATAGAATTCTAGCTATTTCAGATGAAAGATGTCTGGTCAGCCACCATAACCACACTGTTTTCTTTTAAGTCTATCTTATTTTATTTATATACCATCTTTCTCCCCACAGGGAGACTTAAGGTGGCTCATAATGAATTAAAACAACACAATAACTGTAGTTAAAGCATCATAAGAAACTATACTAAAGCAATTAAACACATAAGAATATTAGAATCACCATTAAACAATTTTAAAAACATTTAAAAACATTAAAAATCTCTAAATTCATTTTTTTCAAAAAAGCAAAAAAGCAAAGTGTGTTGCTTATATACCTCCCCATAGCACTTATCAGACACCTTCATGTCCTGTGGTACTCCAAGGTTCAGTACCACAGGACATGAAGGATGCAAACATCATCACATTGTATAAGAACAAAGGAGACAGGGCGACTGCAATAACTACCGTGGCATCTCTCTTCTCAGCGTTGTAGGGAAGCTACTTGCCCCTGTCATGCTGAAGAGACTACAGGTGCCTGCAGACAGAGTCTATCCAGAATCACAGTGTGGATTTTGAGCTAATAGATCCACCATTGGCATGGTATTCTCTCTCTGACAGTTGCAGGAGAAATGCAGGGAACAACAACAGCCATTCTTTGTGGCCTTCATAGATCTCACAAAGGCCTTTGATCTGGTTAGCAGGAATGGCCTTTTTAAAATACTTCCCAAGATTGGATGTCCACCTTAACTCCTTAACATCATCAAGTCCTTTCATGAGGGAATGAAGGGCACTGTAGTTTTTGATGACTCAACATCAGATCCCTTTGATAGCCAAAGCAGAGTGAAACAGGGCTGTGTCCTCGCGCCAACCCTTTTTGGGATCTTTTTTGCTGTCATGCTGAAGCATGCCTTTGGAACTGCAACAGAAGGTGTCTATCTCTGGACTAGATCAGATGGAAAGCTCTTTAATCTCTCTAGATTGAGAGCGAGGACCAAAGTCCAACTGAAATGCATACAGGACTTCCTCTTCGCCAATGATGCAGCCGTTGTTGCCCACTCTGCTGAAGACCTCCAACAACTCATGAATCATTTTAGCAAGGCCTGTGAAGACTATGGACTAACAATCAGCCTGAAGAAAACACAAGTCATGGGCCAGGGTATGGACTCACCTCCCTCTATTACCATCTCCACACAAGAATTGGAAGTTGTTCATGACTTTGGGTACCTTGGCTCAACGATCTCTGATACTTTCTCCCTAGATGTCAATCTGGATAAACGCATTGGCAAAGCAGCTACAGTACCATGTTATCTAGACTCACAAAGAGAATATGGCTCATTAAGAAGCTGATGCCATATACCAAGATCCAGGTCTATAGAGCCTGTGTCCTGAGCACACTGCTGCAATGAGTCCTGGACCCTTTGTGCATCGTAATAGAGGAAGCTGAACACATTCCATATGTGTTATCTCCGACGCATTTTTGGTATCACCTGGCAGGACAAAGTTCCAAATAAAGTAGTCCTAGATCGTGCTGGAATTTTTAGCATGTATACATTACTGAAACAGCAACATCTACGTTGGCTTGGGCATGTTGGTCGGATTCCAAAAGATCTCCTGTATGGAGCCTTAGTGCAGGGAAATTGCTCCAAGGGCGACCACAGCTGCAATAAAAGGATATCTGCAAAGAGGATCTGAAGGCCTTAGGAATGGACCTCAACAGATGGAAAACCCTGACATTGGAGCGTTCAGCCTGGAGGCAGGCAGTGCATCACAGCCTCTCCCAATTTGAAGAGACCCTTGTCCAGCAGGCTGAGGCAAAGAGACAGTCACAAAAGCAGCAAAATCAGGGAGCTGGACAGGGGACAGATTGGATTTGTCTTCAGTGTGGAAGGGATTGTCACTCTCGAATTGGCCTTCTCAGCCACACTAGACACTGTTCCAAGTCCTCCATACAGAGCATGTTACCATAGTCTTTTGAGACTGAAGGATGCCGAATCTAATCACCATACACATTGCCCCCACCCCAAGCAAGCTGGGTAGTCATTCTACTGACCTCAGAAGGATAGAATGCTGAATCAACCTCCAGCTAGCTACCTGGGACTGAACCCTGGGTTGCAAGCACAGTTTTGGCTGCAGTAAAGCAGTTTAACTACTGTGCCACGAGGCATAATTGCAGCATTTCTAAAAATCCTGATTATTTAAAAGTCTGCCATCATCTTTCCTGAAGATGGAAGGACAAGAGGGAAGAACCAACCTTGCTTTTTGAGGGAGTGCATTTCACAGTACTACAGTTGTACCCCGCTTGACGATTACTCCGCTTGATGCTCAAATCGCTTAACGATGCTGTTTTTGCGATCTGCTTGATGCTCAAATCGCTTAACGATGCCGTTTTTGCGATCGCTATAGCGATCTTAAAACGATAATTCAATGGGTTTTTTCGTTTGATGATGATCGGTTCCATGCTTCGGGACTGTTTTTTCACTGGACGATGATTGAAAACAGCTGATCGGTGGGTCGCAGAATCGCTCCCCGCTGTTTTCAGGACCGATTCTTTGCTTTACAGGCATAGCAAAATGGCTGCCCTATGAAGGATCTTCACAAAACGAGCAGGAATTTCCCCCATTGGAATGCATTGAACCGGTTTTCAATGCATTTCAATGGTTTTTTTTTTCGCTTGACGACGATTTCGCTTAACAGCGATTTAAACGGAACAGATTATCGTCGTCAAGTGAGGCACCACTGTACCTTGATTCCCACACAGAATGATATTGGTGGCAGTACAAGCAAGCAAACTGACTGTTTTTGCACCATTCCATCCCTCCCTTCCAGCTAATTCAGATAAGGATAGGTTTAATCCCTATTACAGATGTACATTTTCCAGCATGCTTTAGTCTTTTGTCCTCAAATTGCAGTTAAAGGTAAAGGTAAAGGATCCCTTTGACAATTGTTCAGTCATGTCCAACTCTAGGGGGCGGTGCTCATTCCCATTTCCAAGCCATGGAGCCAGTGTTTGTCCATGGACAGTTTCCGTGGTCACGTGGCCAGCGTGACTAGACATGGAACACTGCTACCTTCCCACCGTAGTGGTACCTATTTATCTACTCATATTTTTACATTGTTTCAAACTGATAGGTTGGCAGGAGCTGGGACAAGTGACAGGAGCTCACTCCATCACATGGATTCGAACTGCTGATCTTTCAGCCTTGCAGCCCAGAGGCTTTGTGGTTTAACCCACAGCGCCACCACATCCCCAAACTGGAGTTGCCCAATGACAAAAGAGTAGTTATTTGCAATAAGAACCAAAAGGAGCAAATTACTTCACTTTCTTATTCATAACTCTAACGCTGAGCCTCAAGAGTCCTGCTGAGAAGGTGATGGGCAGTAACAAATCATGGTCAGCTTAATAAAATCGGAAGGCCATTACAAAATTTTATCTAGCCAAGAAAATTTCTCAGATAAAACAGCAATGGGTAATCTCTGAATATGTAGCTCAGTCACACCAGCTAAAATCCTAGTGCCCAGCATAGTAGGTCACATTGGAATGTGACCTACATTCCAGTCACACTGTATCAGTGAAGATTTGGTGAGTTACCTGTTCCATATGTTCCACTGATTTAAATGGGCAGTGCTCTAGTTGAGATTTATGTTAATATAGGATGTTCCAACAAGAGCAGGCCTATCTGAATATGTGAAACTTAAGAGGGGAGTTGACTCACCAAATCCTAACTGATTCAATATGCCTACTCTAGTGGGACTTATTACACTAAGCAATGAGATTTCAGTCAATGTACTACTGTATTCATAGTAAAGCCACATTAGCTTGGGGGAGGGTCAACTTTTTTGTTCCCCCCCATAGAAGTTGACAGTAGTGTAGAAGAAACCGCCATGTATGAATATAAAACATACTAAATGCAACTAGATTGGGATGGGATGGACAACTACAGGGTATCCGGGGAGGGGGAGGAGGTACCTGTTTTGCACCCACAGGGGATCCATGACTACCCTGCAAGCCAAAACCACTTCTTTCTTCAAAAGCAAGGAGACTAGACAGTCGCTTCCAGATTTAGAAACAGATGTTTTCGGACCTTAGGAGATGCAGAAGAGGAGTTAAAATAAAGAATTGCACCCACTGGGTGCTTTTAAGTATATAGTTCTCTGGGGGAGGGTTATTTTTCCAAAAGAGGCTTTGCAGGCAAGGAAGTTCAGGGTAAGCCCAGAAGCCCCCTCCCCAGCTGCTCATAGCCCCACAGACACACTTTGCCCAGCCCTAAATTAGGTCCTGCCCTATCCTTTGTAACATCTAGACTAGAAGGTGGATGAAGCACAACTCCTCTTATATTACCGAACATCAGTCACCTCTAGCTAACACAATCACTTGTGAGTAACGCTGGGTAGTAGTAGTTACGCAACACATGGATAGTAGTAGTTACACAACACTGCCCAACCAAAACAAAACAAAAACAACAAAAAGAGAGATTATATGTGTCAAACAGCAGAATGTGGGTCTTCTTGCAATACAATGTTCTGGAGAATGACCTACAGGCAATGCAGGAAGACTAGACCTGAAACTCTTACCTCCCACATCAGCCTGCAGTCTGTGCTCTCATCCACCTCCTGAGGCATTCGCTTCTCTCCTGCAAACGGTCCAAATTTTTCACCCTGAATAATGCAAAAGGAACACTTCACATCTTTCCTTCTGATAGAGTTTGTTGCTACTTTACCTTTGCACACCACCATTACTGTGACACTACAACAGCCCCTACCAACCTGATGCCTTCTAGACGGGTCAAACAGCGCGCAACAGGAAATGCCTATGCTAACATCTTAACTTGCTGCAATTTGCTGTTCAGACAGATGCTGATTATATTAAGATGCCATGAAAGCATAAAAAGATTCCAGCCCTTATATGCCAAAGTTCTGGCTCATATAAGAAACACGCCTCTCTGCCGTAGATTTGCAGGATTCTTTCCGAGTTGCCAGTTTTCTTCAGACAGTTGGATCTCTGCTATGGTCTACCAAAAGTTTGGTCCTTAAGTAATAATAATTAGCATAAACGAATACATCATCAAACAATGGCTGTGTTTTCCATAATTAGCACAGAGGCTGCGCTGTGGTTCTCGTTGATGGGACTGTGGCAATTCCTCATAGTTATGGTTATTAGGATTATGACTGGCAGAGGACAAAACTCTTAACGTCAAGGCTGTCATCCTTTTTTTCCACAACATGCCGCCGGCTCACTACGAAAGAGAGGGAAGTGGGAAGCGAAGTGACAAAAAGGGGGGTTGCTCTTAAACCTTGGGAGGGGGAGAGAGAGGGAGGGAGGGAGGAAGAGCGCGCCAGAGAGAGCCTTCCTGTAATACGTGGCAGGCGCGCTCCAGAAAATCCAGCAAGTGGGAAGCTAAAACGGAGCAGCAAGGGAAGCTGAGGAAGGAGGCAGGAGACGAAATTAATAGAATAAAACCCAAGCTTGCAAGTCCCGGCTCGCTTGCATCGCTCTGCGCCCCCAATTCTCTCGAAAGAGAAAGGGAGGGAAAGACGCCCCTCGCCCGCCTCAACCCGGCCTCAGCGAGGCTCACCCACCTTTTTCACTCTCCGGGCGGTAAAGAGTCCCATCCCGTCTTGAATTTGAGATGACTTCAGGGCAAACCTGTCCGGCACGTACATGCCCAACATTGCTGCCCTCAATGGGACCAAGGGGGAAGGGAGGGCTTTGGCTCGCCCCTCTCTTCTTCCTCTTCTTTCACGAGCTTGAACTGGGGGCAGACTCGAAAGGCATTTTCGTGGCCAAAAGCCAAAGCGAGGGGTCGGCAGGGAGAAAAAAAGATGAACCCTGGCTGCTAGACTCTACCCCCGCCCCACCCCACACACACCCCCACCGGGCCCGGACACACCGTCCCGCCCGCCTCCTGGAAAGAGAAGGTGGAGCTTTCTTTTCCCTTCTCCTCCCAGCCCCCCTCGCCGGAGTCGCCGCTGGGCAGGGGCTTGTGCTGCGCTCCGATTGGCCGGAAGTTTCTGAGGGAGCCAGGGAGGGGGGAAAAAAGCAAAGATTCCATCTCGCGGGGAAAAAAATAAATCCGCTCTCTGAGGAAGCAGCGAAGGATTCCGGGACTGCTGATCCAAAGGGGAGTCTGGACAGAGAAGCCCCCGGAGTTCTTTTTCACTACTGGGGGAAGGAAGAAGGACACCTCTTCAGAACAGCACCTCAGACTGTTAAGGTGGAGGTGGAAAGAAGCCCAGCTTGGGAAGGGTCCCTGTTACATGGCTGACGGGGATTCTGGGAACTGTAGTCCAAAAGAGAGAGAACTTTCCCTAGTTCTGAGAAGAATCTTTACACTCCAATGAGCACAGAAGGTTTTTGTCCAAGGAGTGAGTGAGACACTGTGGTTAGTGTGACTGACCAAGAAAGTGGAGTCCTGAATTCAAACCCAGGCTCCTCAACCACAAAGTTGTCAGAATGACATTGGACCTGAAGCTGTTTATCAGCATACTCTACTACCTCATTTTGGTCATTGTGAGGATTTAGAAGGAAGAGCTGTGCTGCGCTGCCTTGTGATCCTCAACGGAAATGGACAAGACGAACAGGAATAAGCATAAGCCATGCTCAACACAATGGCTGAAATCCTGCTGCACGGTTATGCAGGTGGCATAACTTTGGGGAGTGAATTGCCATAAATTGAGAAATCTCCATAGACATAGAAGTCAACAACATATATTGGATTGTTAGTGTTGCAACAAATACTTTGAGGAAGGCACCACAAAAGTTGTAGAATCATAAAATTATAGAGTTGGAAATGACTCCAAGGGTCATCCAGTCCAAGGAAACCCAAGGTTAAAGAGTCCCTGACAATGCCATCCGGCATTTCTTTAAAAACATCCATTCCAGTGTCAAACAGCCTTTATAGTCAGGACTGTCTTCCTATGGTTCAATTAGAACTTTAAAAAAATCTACTGGTTCAGATTCTACTATGAAGCAATAGAAATGTCACCTCTCAGTCCTGCCCTGGCTAGAAAGACACACCTTCCTCAACTAACCCATAAGGCTTGGGCTTGATTTCTAGACTTTGGTTGCCTTCAGCATGACATAGAATCATGGAGTTGGAAGGGCCCAGAAGGCCGTTGAGTCCAACCCCCCCCCTCAATGCAGGAATCCAAATCAAAGTACATCTGACAGATGACTGTCTAACTTTCTCTTGAATGCCTCCAGTGTAGGAGGCACCTCCCAAGGTCATTAGTTCCATTGTCTTACTGCTCTAACAGTTAGGTGTTTCCTGATATTTACCTAAAATTTAACCTCCTGTAACTGGAGCCCATTATTACATGTCTTGCATTCTGGGATGATCAAAAACAGATCTTGCCCCTTTACTGTACAACAATCTTTCAAGTATTTGAAAAGTCCTGTCCTTTCTCCCCTCAGTCTTTTTTCTCAAGGTTAAACATGCCCAGTTCTTTTACTCTTTCCTCATAAGACTTGGTTTCCAATCTCCTGATCATCCTTGTCGCCCTTCTCTGAATTTCCAGTTTGTTGGCATCCTTCTTAAAGTGCAATGTCCAGAACATGGTATCCTTTTGGAATGAGGCCATATATTCTTCTGAGCGCATGAGGTATGAATTGTCATAGAGAGCAGGCTACTGTTATGGACACATATCTTTGTAGAGTCAGGGGCTTGTAAGCCAGGAAGGCACTAGTGGCAGCTTCACTGAATTCTGCCCATTTCAGAGGTGCCATCAAGAGAATACAGCCATTGCTTTGTCTCCTCTTATTTCTCTCCCTCTTAGCACAACAGAGCAGACTGGACCTATAATGCTGCTTGGAGAGAACATCTGGTGTACTCAAACTCTGAGTGGTGGATTGGGCCAACCCAGCCCAACATGTGTTACTTACACTTGGTGTGAATGACCAGCAAAGCAACCTTTGCTTGTCTCCCACAAGTTAAAAAAGATGTTTAGGCTCTGCTCTCACTACCTCACCAACCTGCTGTGCTGTGCTGTCCAGATGGAGATGAGTATGACAGGGAGTGCTGTGTATTTGCACTTCCTCTCCAGAAAGTGTGGTGGGTCCAGCCCTCACTGCAGTGCCCCATGGGCAGGTGGAGGCTGATGACTTTAATTTCATTAAAGGTGAAATGGTTTTAATCTGAACTTCATGGATGCTATCCATGGTGCTGAGACCCAGCCCTTATTCCCCTATCACCAACCCTGCAAAATTAGAGTCACCGGCCTCCACAAGCAGGGAAATAGGAGCACCCACTGTCAAGTTGACACTAGGTTTGACACCAAATGAACCTGAACATACATATCCACTGTCATCTCATTTTGAAAGCTAAGTAGGATTAAGCCTGGTGTGTACTTGAATGGGAGATGCCTATGGAATCCTAGGGGCTGAATTGAGATGGAGCTGTGGATCAGGAGCTGAGCATGTACTTTGCTTGTAAAGGGCACCCGTTTTAGCCCATAGGATCTTCAGGTGGGCCTGGAAAAGATTGCTTTTGAAAATCCTGACAGTTTGTGCTAATCAGAGTTGGTAGTACCAATTATCTACCTCAGTATAAGACAGATTCCTATGCTTCTGGTTTTACTTGCACCAGGTGGCCTTAAAGGTCAGTGAATCCCAACTTTTGTTCCTCTAGATTTTTGTGACTTCATCGTCCAGAATTCCTAACTGTTGACCATGTTGACTGGTGCTTCCTGGAGCTGCAGTCCAAAATAGCTACAGCAATGGTTCTCAACCCTGAGTCACCAAATGTTCTTGGACTACAACTCGCAGAAATGTTGGCCAGGTTGGGAATCACTGATCTAGAGGAAGAAAATATGTTCTAGGTATTGCTTTACTTTAGTACCCATCAGCATTAAGCAGCAGAGTTCACTGTGAGGAATAATGAGAATTGTAGTCCAAGAGTGCCTGTCATGGCACATGTTCCACATCTCTGCTTTATATCATTTTGAATATTTATGTGTTATTTTGGCCAGTTCCCTAAGAATCCTAGATGGTTATAAAAGTATGGGATATAATTTCAAAAAGAGCAATCATAGCAAGGTGAACTTGTTTATTGTTCCTTTATTGCTAGCATGTTAAGGCTTTAAACTTCCATTTTCCAGAAGGCATTACTTATAATCTCAAGGTTCTATGGCTTCAGAAAATAGGAGATGACGACCTGCAGAAAGCCCTCTTGCAAATACTCCTCTACATAGTAAAACTAAATACATCATTAAAGACAAAGTGCCCCCAGTTGGAACATTACACTTTGAATAATGCTATACCTAATCCCAGTTTGAATGCAAAGCTGTAAATCACTTTTTGGTTATTTTGCTAATATTGTGCATTGTACACTAGCAGTTTTTGGAATGACAGGTGGACCTGAAAGTGAACTCATTCCACTAAACAGATTAATTTAAGATGGGAATTCAATCCAGAGTGCATGTATTATTGCTTTAATGTATACATAGTTTATCAAAGTGCAGATTGGAGTTGGCCAAGGATTGTTCTTTTCCCTGCAGAGAGATGTATTTGTTTAAATCTCATTATAAAGCTGAAAGAAAAACAATGCATTTGGGGAAGGCAAGAGAGTAGGAAAAGCAGGCTGGGGAATGGGAGGATTAGAAAACTTGAAGTATTTAAAATTCTGTATATACATATATATAGTTGTGTCATTTTTTAAAATTGTGTCATTTTTTTATTACTAGGACACTCTGGGCTTTTTCTTCTTGGCTTGTGCTTTCCTCAAAATGCCCTCCTTGATGTGACTATCCTTTCAAGAAAATGAGTGTTTATTCATACAATTACAATTATTTTCCTTTTTGTTGTCATTTTGAGAAAACCAGAGAGGAAGTTAAAATCATTGGTAATCAAGGGTTTAAAGTTCCTTGTAAGTCCTTGCCAAGTTAAAGGTTAAAAAAAGGGGAACATAACTTGGTCTCAATATGAAAATACTTCCCCTTCTCTTCTTGCCTTCACACTTTTTGAAAATACTTCCAGGCTTAACAAAACATATAGAAATGTATATCTTCTCCCTTGTATAAATTTTTGTGTCTGTCTGTCTGTCCATCTGTCTTGAGGCACAGGAATTAATTGAGCATCAATTTGCCATTAAAATACTGATACAGTACATTTCTTCCAACTACTTCCATAGATTATTTCTGTCCAGCCTTAGAGTGAACCAATTTGATCTTTATCAGTTTATTGTAATGATATCTCATATCATAAACCTACATCTGTGTGCTCAGAAGGAAGTTCCTTAAGTGACTGTTGGACTGCAGAGTTAATAATCCAAATCAAGGATGGGAATTTTTGGTACCATCATATGTCTTCAACTCCCAGAAACTATAGTGATCATAAAGAGTGGGACAGGCTTATAGGGGTTGTGGTATAAAACTCTTACAGCAGCAACATTCTCTACCCTCTTAGAGAAATCTGAAGATTTTGACAAGCAAAAGCATGCCAAGTTCAGAACTAAAAGCTCTCCATCATGCCACCAAAGTGGCATGGAATGAACACAGGCCAAAAATGAAACAAGTGCACTTTTCACTAACAGCTTAGCAAACTTGCCTTTTTGACCTAAAACCAGAATTCCCCAGCCAGTATGACCATGCGAGTTACTTCCAGGTTCTGTACCAGACTTTTAGCATTCTATGTGCCTCTCCGTCCTTCTGTGTTACACTACATCTATCTGAACAAACAATATTTGCTTTGGCCAGGAGGAGTAGACACAATATATCCATTTCCAATTCATTTTTTTTTAAGATAAGGTAAAAGGGATCTCATTAGTATACCGGTCATCCCTTATAACCAACATTTCTGAAAGGATTTAATTTTAGAAGGGAGTTCTTGATAGCTCTTGATAAT